AAGAAGCAGTAAAAGAAGAAAGATATTCAAAATGGGAGGGGAAGGGCATCTTCATTTGGAGACAGGCGCAAGAAATTATTAGGAACATGCACTGGGGACTCCCATAAAAGCAGAGCTGGGTTGTGGGTGGGAGAAGCTGTTCAGGCCAGCTATGGGAATGGGAGAGGGAGTTGTGCTGAGAAGCCTCCAAATTGGAGAAAACTGAAGAGAACGTAGGGGCAGAACAGAGCGTGCAGATGATGGAAACTTGCTTCAACAGTCTCTGTTGTCTGCTTGCTTTTTTCCGCTTCCCCTCTCAGGAAAGAGAAATCACACTACTGCTAGAGGGTGCTGAGCCTTGAGCTCCCCTGCTATTTTAGAAGCCACACTTGTGTGTGGTAAGGTGGCAGGATGCCTTCAGGCCTCCCGAGGAAGCCACAGGCGCCCTCCACTCCTGATCCTTGTGCTGTTGTCCCTCTTGGTACACAACAGTCAGAAGGGACCTCTGGAGATCATCCAGTCCAACCACCCCCTCAAAGCAGGACTGCCAGCAACACCAGGTCTGGTCAACTGCGGCTTTGTCTAGCCATGTCCTGAATAACTGCAAGACTATTAAAGTTTTTCCCCAGGTCCAACTTGGAGTGAGAATTGCAGTACAGGAGCTTGTACTTGTAGTTAGGGTTGAGAATGTTCCAAACAAGTAGTAATATAGAGTCTTTTTGGCCATTAACAATGGGAAACTTTTTTTTTCCCCCCATTTCTTTGCCTTTGCATATTTTCCTTCTTTGTCATGTGCATAATGGTGCTAGTTGTTGAATAGTGCCAAGGTAACACTGAGCAATTCCTAATTGGCTTGGTATGCACATTTTGACTTGCCTTGGAGCCAGATGAATGTTTGTTCCTTCTCTTATTTCTAGTACTGCTTCATTTCTGTGGGAGAAAGAAATCTGGATATTTTTCTAAATTGAGTGTCCTTTTCAAAATTAACTAAGTCTTCATTAATGGTGCAGAAATCCTCATTAATGAGGATAAGACAGTTGGCAGAGGCAGCCCAGTTTGGCATTCCAGATCCCAGGCTAGGACTGGCAATTTAAAATACAAATTTAATGAAAAATGCTGTGAATGAAGGAGATACAGGTCCTCCACTGTCATTTTCTTTTCTTAGTGAGATTTGTGCAGGGAATGCAAAATCATTGACAGACAATTACAATCTCTGAAAAGAATCTTTTTTTTCAGCATGCAATTTCACTTTCGACCATGTTAATGCTAAGTTAAGATTTACAGCAGGAGAAGAAGAGAGTACAAATTCCTAAAATAGCATAAGTTGGTCACCGGGCCAAGATTTACTTTTCTGGGTACAAATCAGTTGTAATAAGCCTAAACAGCATTGTGGATCAGTGAGAAAGGTGAAAATGTGGAAACATTTTTCTCTCTACTAGGCCCTGTGTTTTGGAATATGCCAGATGTTGAGGCTACCTCAGTACAACATCATTTGTCACCAGTAAGGTCTGCAGCATGAGTGTTGTTTTATTCTAGTCAAAGTTGTTGCTAATTGATTAGTGCTCCCTGTCTCACTCTCTCAATTTTTTTCTGTCACCACCCGTCCCCGTCAGAGGCAACAACCACTCAAGCGTGAATGTCACCACAAATGTGACTGGCCTTGCTTCAATGCTGTCACTTGTTCCATTAAATGCACTATGCAGCCATGCACATCTAGTTTTCCTTTTAATCTGGTTTTCAGATTATTTTTATAATCAGATCAGCCGTACAGGAGCAAATGAAAAAAAATCAGACAACGATGGTAGGACTTGCTGAATAGAGATCCAGGTGGAGCCCTTTCCCAAACCTTCCAACAGCTGTATTTGGCATACATGAATTCACTCTTGCAGCTCCAAACCTGTGAGTCCTTGATCATTCCTTAGGCTGACCTGAAGGGCAATACTGCTTTGCTTGACAGATGAGATTTTGCCCAAAATAAAAGAGACTTTTCTTACATTTTTTCTAGAGAGCTAGATGCTGTCTTTCATTTATTTTCAGTGCTTCAATACTTTCCATTGTGGGGTTGTTTCTTACATTTTCCAGTCTCTCCTGCAGTGACAATTCTTTACAGCCGCGATGCCACTTCCCTTCTTGGCCTGAAAGGTCAGAAGTGGTTGCCCTTTGAGAAAGCCATAATTGAGTCCTTCCTCGCTTGGTGAGTCTGAGGCTGCTAACCCTCTTTGTAAAGACTCTACAATTCTTCCTCAGTAACCCATCTTTTTTTTTTTTTTTTTTTTAATTTCTAATGAAAAAAGCAAGCCACAACAATTTGATATAGGATTTTCATAAGCTCCATTCAGGTCTTGTAATAGTCAAGCTAATGCGTATAGGAATCACCATTTTTGTAGCCTCCCTTAACACATCTGACATCTGCAGGTTTCAAGACTGTCAAGTGCTGCATCCTGCAGCTCTCCAGTGCTACCTTCACAGTAATGATTGTTATTACTTCCCTGGCTTCTGTGCTATTTGCCATGCACTGAAGAAGTTACCTGTGAGTTTTTTATTCACATCTTGTATTGTAATTGTGTTTACAGGCCATAGAAGAACTATTCAGTCAGTGTTGGTCTCTGTGAGAGTCTGTCAGTATAATTTTTGCTTGGTTATTTATCTGTTTGTTTTAGTCTGACTTTCTAGGAAACAGAAGCTGAAATCCCACTCTTTCTCCATAGCAGCTTTGGAATTTACTTATCCATTTCAGCAAAATGGCAAAGATCTTGTTTAATATGCTTACTTAAAGAGAAGCTACAGTGAACATTTAGTCCTTATCAGACATCATAAAATTGGCATCCAGGATAATACTTACGAAATTCCAGCATCCTTTGGAGTTTATACCATCTTAAGCACCAGAGAATTTAACCATCAGTCCAAACTTCTCTCTTGTGTGGATTCTCCATTGTCTGATAGGTGGTCAGCTCATTTTGCAACCTCAGTATATTTCAGTTAAAACAGTAAATCAACTGCAAGACACAAGTAGTGGGCAACAGAGCTTCATAAGATCCATTGTTGACAAAACTATTTGGTTTGGATTTTAACCCAAATTTTGGGTTACCCAAGTATAATTCTGCTGTGGAGATATAAGCATACTTAATTAAATTAACATAAAAATTATAGTAATTAACCATTTTCTACCAAGATGTGAGACTGTTTGGTTAATCTGAAATTGATATATGCATAAACTGTTAACAAATGTTTAATTCCATCATATTCTTTGCAATATTCTTAGTATTCATATGAGAACAATAGGAAATAGTTAATAGTTAGTGATCCTTAGCCTTAAGTTCACATGAACTGCCACAAACATATGAAGGAACTTTAGTCTAAAGTAAGTACCAGGGCAGTTCTGCAAAGTTTAACTTATTCCTTGGTGACATAAATATTCAATGTGTCTTCTTCCAGAAGAAATGGTAAAATTAGAAACACTTTGAATATTATTTGGTGGTTTTAGCTGGTGAATGTGTGCATGTGAGCAACACAAAGCACTCGTCTGTGCTGATACCCTCTTCTCAGTGTTAATTGTTGCTCCTTATTTATTTAATGTCATTTAAATAAAAGGAGGATGTGGTTTGGCCAAGATCTGCACTTCTGTGATGTCTCGCAGCTGCCATTATGGTGTCTGTCGATCATCAGATAACAGAATCACAGAATAGTTGAGGTAGGAGGGGAACTCCGGAGGTCAGCTGGTCCAACCGCCCTGGTTTCCAGGATGAGCTGCTCCATCACTTTTCCAGGAGTCAAGGTGAAACTGACTGGCCTGTAGTTCCCTGGGTCTCCTTCTTGCCTAAGTCCTCCTTCTTGCCCTTCTTGAAGATAGGAGTGACATTGTCTTTCCTCCAGCTTTCAGGCACTTCTCCCAGTCACCATGTTTGATCAAAGATTATTGAGAGTGGCCTTGCAGTGACGTCTGCCAGCTCCCTCAGTGCTTGTGGGTGCATCCCATCAGGACGTGTACATGGACTTATGTATGTCCAGTTTGCTTAAGTATTCCCTGACCTGATCCTCTTCCACCAAGGGTACATCTTCCTTGCTCGAGCCTTTCCCCGTGTTCTCTGAAACCTGGGATTCCTGAATCAGATCGGATGTGGTTATGTGAATTCATTCAGACTGTTGCTATGACTGAAGCTAGCAGGTCTAATGGATAAGCTTGGAACAGCATTTTAAATGGCAAGTGTTTTCTGTATGAAAACAAAACTTAAGTAGGTATCTAAGGACACCTTACAACACCGAAGAACACCTGCTGCAAGTTTTCCAGGTGGTACCTGCGAATGGGCCAGAATATGTGGAAAGACTACATAGGCCTTTATAGTCGATACTGACAAGATCCAAAATGTTAGAGGTCCCTTTTATGCAAGTCAGTGACCCATGCTAAAAATTTCTCTGTGGATATAGCAAGAAGAGATGTGTTTAACCAGGGGTTTGTACTGATGCATTCCATTACTGAGCTGGCTGGAACAGACATTGCCACACTGGATAAGATGCCATTAAAACTGTACCTTTATTACTGTTCTGCTGGTTCAGACTGTGGATAAATCTATTATCCACTCTTGCTGTTTAATAACCAGCTGTCATAGTCCTTGTAACATAACACTTTCATTAGATTCAGAAATAGGACACACAAAAGGATAGCAAATGATCCTGGGAAGTCTTTCCCAGACAGATAAATGCTACTAACAATAAAGTAAGTTGTTATTATTAGCATTGTGATGTTAATGAAAATTATGGACAATTATCTGCTCTTGAAGCTGGCTTTTCCCTTTCTGTATAGTTTTTTGATTTTTTTTTTTTTTGTTAGTGCAGATGACTTAAAAAAGACACCCACACAGGCTGCAGAAATTTGAGAGAAATGGTTCATATTATTTATGCAGTGGAAATTCTCAGGGAGCAGACTAGATTAGGAAAAGATTGTCTAGTTTGCTAGTTTAAAACTTTTGAATAATGGTCACACACTATACCACAAAACTGATGTTGTTTACATTTTCTTCTAGGAACGTCTCTTGATGAGTCTTTTGCCCAGGAATGTTGCAATGGAAATGAAGGAAGATTTCCTGAAGCCTCCTGAAAGGATTTTCCACAAGATTTACATTCAAAGGCATGACAACGTTAGGTAGGATTGACGTAGCCCATGAAATAATTTAAAGCAGAAAATACTTAGTGGAAATACAGTGACGTGCAATTGCAGTCAGGTCTTAGAGAAAAAAACAACAAGCAGTACAGTGAAGATTTGTCATTTATGCAGAAGGGGCCCACTAGGAAGACTTAATAGTCTTCTCAGAAGATAATGGTGAATCAATAAATGGCTTAGAATAGTAGTGCTGGGAGGCAGACAACTTTTTTCAAATGAGTAGTCATTCTTTTTGTACTGTATTATATTTTGGGTGAATAGGAGTACTTATTTTGCATGGTAACTTTTACACATTTATATTTTCCTGATAGTAAGATGGATTACTTTTAATGCAATAGATTTTCTGGGTAATAGCATGGAAATACAGAAAGAAAGTGTGATGTAAACTTAAAAAAATGTGTATCTGTTCCTATCATATGAGCATTCCTCCTCAGAGGTTATTAACTAAGGCTCAGTTCTATTTCTTGATCTTGTTCAGTAACAGACTGTTGTGCAAGTGCCCTCATTTATACTGGTTGTTATTAAAGTGCATTCTCATTTGCTATTCTTCTCTGCCAAGGCCTTGTCTGATTGGTGTTGTTTTATCATACTGCTTATAGCTACTTTTTCTCCAAGTGCCTTGCTTTCACACCAAAAACAGTGTCAAAGAGGTTTACTTCGTGCCACCCTTGCACTAAGCAAGGTGCAGACTTAACAAGTGATGCCACAGAGCTGCCTTGGTTTGTACCATGTACTCATGTGGCAAAGGAGTAAACTCCCTTAGCACCTCCTCCGCTCCCTCATCCACTGGCAAGTTCCTTCTCTTGGGGTTCAGTCTATCTCCCATTGAGCTGACTCTAATATTTGCAAGGACCGCTTCCTAGTGACTAAGCTGTTGCAACTGAAAGCATTTATGTCAGTGAGGGAATCAGAGATGGCTGTGATGGGAGTGTTTAGAAGACTGACAAATTAGGTCAGTTTTACGCTGTAAAATTAAACATTACTGAATTTATTGATTAGCAGCTCACTTCTTGCTAATGGTTGAATCTTACATAATGTTGATCATCATCATTACGTATACAAAACTCTTGGTCTTTACCAATCAATTCAAAGTTAGCTGTATGTGTACAGTACCCCAGAGCTGATGCTGCAAAGTTAGCATTGTTGGTTACAGTCTTTGATGGTTCTCAGTTGCCAAAGTCAGGCTTGAGAACTCCTGAAGGAGAGAATTCAAGATCAAAGTGGGCTGTCTTCCTCCTTCTCCAATTTTCCTTGTCTATGCCTCACGCTTTTATTCTATTGCCTCCCCACCAACACCATTTGTCTTTTTTTCTTTTTCTTGCCATTCTTCCATCTTTGGATGATGTCTTGTCTATTTGCAGTCACTTGTGCTTACCTTGTCTGCTGCCTGCCAGATTTTTGTTGCTTGGGTGCCTTCTACTATTTTGTTTGTCCCTTTGGTGATTGCATTGCTTATATACTTATAAAAGTTGTATCTAGTTATGCCATCACAATGCTATGAAATACAGGTATACTACTGTTGGTTGCACTTATATTCAGGTTCAAGGCAAGCCAATGATAATTATATCCTGATTAGTACATTTATACCTTGTATGTGTCACAGATGTCTGCATTGGTTACAGTGTAAGTAGTCTTCTTAAACGGCATTGCTTTGCAGCTGGACTGGTTGATTATAATGCTTCTGAGTCCTCTCGTGCGCTTTTTGAAATGTAACCTCAGGAGTACCCTTTTTTTGTCTACGTGAAAGGGTGTTTCACATAACCTCTAAGGCTGCTGTGGCTTACTCACTGCTTCGATGTGGAGTTCATAAAAGATTTTGAACCTCAATACCCTGTCTGGAGAGGTGAATTCATTCTCTCACATTAAGAGGGTACTTTTGGGGCAAATGGAGGCAAAGTAAGATGGTCTTATTTTAACGTCAAAGGAAGGATCCTCAGGGAAGAGAACTGAAAACAGGAGACCTTCCCTCACCATCTGTGCTATAAGAAACTGTATTACATTTTATTTCAGTAATGCAACTACTGTATTAAAAAAAAGATAAGGGGGGGCATAGTGTCCCAGTAAATACCCAGCAAGCGGTTGCTAGCAGGTCCCGGTAGACCAGAGTTTCGCCCCGGGAGCTGTGTGACTCTGCAGATCTGAACGATGCAGGGGAACTCCCTGCAGGAGCGGTACTGACACCGGTGTGGAGGACAGCACTACAGCATCCCTCCGAGAAGTGCTGCTGGTGGTCATTGCCAATAATAAGATCTGTGCTTTACCTTTTTAAGGAGATGAAAACAACTTTTTTTCTTTTGAGTAGTGGCAGTTCAGTGCTATACCAGCCAGACCTAAGAGACCATTCCCATATTCTCATGACTTGCCTTCTTCACACCAAAGGTTCTGTAAAACACCACTATTAAAACAAACAAACAAAAAGCCCCTCTATTTTTCTAAGTTCCTGGAGTTTTTAACCCCAAAACTACACAGTGGAAAATAGAAAATGAGCTGCACTTTTACCTTTCCTATTGCAATGCTTTCTTTTTCTCCCAGCAAGTATCTGGAAGTGTCAGAACATTATCTGCCAGAAAGGATAGGCTGGAGGAGGTACACATGCAATTAGTAAACTGCATGATTTTTTCACTCCTCACCTATTAAAAAAAAAAAAAACAACCCCAACAACAACAAAAAAAACCTCACCAGCAACAAAAAACATCTGTTTCAGTCTTCTAAGTAGCTGCCTGAAAAAACCAGAGTCTTTAAGCACTAGATCTTGCTTGTGAAAAATAAGAGATTCATACAGCTACCTTCTTTACCTTCTCCCAGAAACACACAGGGGGATATATTAGAGTGGATATATATATATTCCCCTGTAAGAAGTGAATGATGGACTGGGAAAAGATACTGGCATATTTCAGATACACCATGGCAACAGCCCTGGTTTATCAATTAGTTGGTAAATATTTTACCAGCTATCAAATAGTTGTTGAATGACGGCCTGCAGCTGACTGCGCCTTGGGAAGGGAATGGAAATATGCCTCTCCCTGTTGAGGGCAGAGCCCTCAGTGTTGTGGCACGCTTCGATGAGCTCTTCCCAGATCTGTAGTAAAGAGAGGAATTGATTTTGCTCACACATAACCCTCTTCACTTAGAAATCGCTTCAGACCTCCACCTTAGTACCCAGGATTTTATGTTTCTTTCTGCAGTACAAAGCATTAAGCTCCTTCAACACCAATTGAAGATTTCCGTGTGGAGAGGGAGCCAGTTTAAAACTTACTTTATATTTCCATTTGAGACTGTTCTAAGGGCATCAATGAATATGGCCCATAAAGGAGCACTGAATAGATGGCTTCCTATGCAGAACGACAGTGCCATCAAAGGAACTTGCAAGGGCCCTGGGAACTGTAGTGGTTTGTGGGGAAAAAACCCTTTTCTCCTCCAAAATGCTCGCATTTAGCAAATGAAAAATTCCTGCTAAGAGAGACATGTACAAGCTCATAACTTGGGGAAGGTCTGTTATATAACTTTACTGAAAGTGCCAGAAGTGCAGAGAAAGGCTGAAAGCTTGAACCCTCCATGTTCCTCCAATTCCAGAGCTTGAACTTTTATAATTTAGTTCCAGTAGAAGCAGGTCCTTTGCACAATGCTCATGCTTACTGCTTGAGCTTTGCAGAAACAAATACTGACAGTCCACAATCTGAAATGTTGTTTGGCCACTTGAGATATTTCTTTTCTTGTTCTGTAACTATTTTTCATTTAGCTTTTATATTTTTAAATTAATTTCTCTGAATATTTTGTTTATTTATGTCAACTTTTTATCACCTTTATTTGCATTTTTTCCCCTTCCTTTTATTTGGTTTCTCCTAATGCAGTTTTGTGGTGGTTCTGTCATTTTTTTTGCATTATTTGAAGATTAAGTGAAACATACGGAAAGAACTACTTTTTTCTCCTCTCTCACAATCCATTAACTGTTAACATTTGAAGAGCATCAAAGCTCTGTGTTCAGCAGCAGTTTCATGTCAAAAGAGAAAGATCACTAGGCCCAAATTCACCTTACTTTTGGAAGTGAGATAATGGTACAAGAAAAGGTTGTTATCCATTCCAACCCTCTGTACGTATTTGTGCATGTGCAAAAAGGAACAAAAAATCTTTCCCAGGCAAGTTTTATTATCTCCTGTGTACACTGTGTAAAGGGTAGTGGTTAAAACAGAATATATTTCTCTATGCAAATATATTTCTCTTCTTCTCAAAGAAGAGGTCAAAAGGAATTGTCACAAGCTGATAAAAATCAGTCCTTTGCCAACAAATTATTCACTCTACAGGTAAGCTGCTTCTTTTCCTACGTTTTGTGTGGAATACCTGAATATTACCCAATGATCTTGAAGAAGATACGGCTTTTTTTTTTCAAAGAGGAAGAAATGAGGCTTTTTGTATATCTGCTACCTTGTAAAGTTTTTGAACAGAATTGCTGTACAGTAGGAAATGAGTGCATGTGTTTTAAATGGAAACAAACAACTTAATGCAAATGCAATATGCAAAACAAGACATGCAAATACACATCCAAAATTATTATAGCGTGAACCCAGTGAGGGCACTAAATTCAAGCATCAGGAAGGTAAAATAATCACAACCAGTATAATATCTGTGCCTCATGAGAAGGAAATAGTCCATATACAGTTCAGGAGCCATTTCAACACAGTGTAGGTGTTATCTTACTGGGGTGACCCCAGCCAAGGTCACAATGAAGGATGTGAGGACCAGATGTCAGCTTACATGTGAAGACTCACCAACAGAACAGCTCTTCTGTGATGCTCAGTAGTATGGTTTGTAACATACAAGAGACAGCTCTTTCCCAAGATTAGGTTAAGTAATGTAGGATTAATATTTCCTTTTCTTATCCCTTGTCTGGCCCTACAGGGTTGAGGAATTTACAGATCACATGTATATGTACCATGGCTACTGTAAAAACACACTACTCCTGACTGAATTTCTCCATGCAGATA